ATAAGCAGAGAGCCAGGGTGAATCCATTTCCAAAGTTCAAGGTCTGAAGGCATGTTACTAAAAAATAATAAAAAACACCATGAACAACTAACTCTGAGCTTATCCACCTAGAGAGGTTGGGTAGCATTGTAACAGCCCTAGGTGTCAGCAGGGAGATAAGAGAAGTCAATCCTGAGCCCCACTGACCATCTGAATTTAAACGGTCAGTGTTTTAACAAGGTTACAGAGAACAAAATGACTTACATGAAAAGGCTTAGATGGAATTTACATCAACAAACAGTTTGGTATTTTGAAAAAGTACAAAAACCACAAACATTTAGATTAGAATTATAACATTTTTAAAGCTGCTTGAAAGACTAAAAAAATGATATGCATACTCTTCTGATTGTCATTCGTTTGACAATTACTATTTCATTGGTTTGGATTATAATGTCTCTTAACCTACCTTCTGAACCCTTTTTAGACCAAACTCGAACTGTGGAATCTGAAGCCGCAGAAACTATCACTGTATATAATGCAACATCCAATGCCCTCCCCTGGTAAACAGCATGCACTGCATAAACAGGTCCTTCATGGCCATAGAGATGGACTGCTTTCAAAAGCTGAATCAGAAAAAATGACAAAAACATTATGATAAAAAAAAAATATCGGTTTCACCTTTATTTAACTGGAATCACAGGATTAATGGTACTGTTAAAATGCGTGACCTAAAAATAGGTCCTTTCAGTTGAACAGAATGTAAACTTTCGAGAAGTCTGTCTGACCATATTGATGACATAAAATGTGCATACCCTTTACACAGCAATCTCACATCTCAGAATCTGCTTGGAGGTGCTAATGGCAACAGTACAACAAATATAAAAGACAAATGGAGGAGGATATTCATCACACACTCTTCATAACAGTGAAAAATTGCAATCAACATAAAATTATTAATAGGGAACTGATTACATAAATTAGTATAGACATATACTATAGAAAATAAAAAGGATAATGTAGATAAATGTATGTTTATTGCCACAGAAAGACGTCCTGTGTCCAATGTCAAGAATGACATTGACATTTTTGAAGAATACAGGCCAGCTTTGTGGACTGTTCCTTTTTGGATTAGTCTGATGCTTTGTCACGAACAGATTCAGGATATACATTGTGACATTATTACTACTGAAGTGCATCACAATGTTCCAATTTTAGTGACATTAACCTTGATACACGTATCTTAGTAAAGGTAGCGTCTGACAGATTTTTTCACTATGAAGTTAGATTTTTTTTGGTGATGATATGTGAGATTGTACTTTGGGATGGAGAAAATATTCTACTCTCCATCAAACTTCTACCAAGTACTTTTAGCATCCACTCATAATACTTGCCTGAATCAAGTACAGCTGCAAAATGGAAAAATGGCAAACAGAACTGGGAACCCATTTACCATGTCTACCTGCTTGCCATGCAAGACTCTTCCCTGTGCCATCATTTCTGCTATTTTAAGTGTATTTCCAGAGTTCCAAAAATGCATGCGATTCCACCACTTCCTTTGAGAAGTACCTTCTATAAATTGTTGTCTGCTGAAATAGATGTCCCTTAAATGTCTCCTCAGTTGTTTTCCCAATTACTTAGGCAGAACCCTGTCACTCAAGAAGGTAATTAATAGTTATGTATAAGGGTCTGTCACTAACTTCCTTTCATCACTAACCTTTGGCTTCTTTGAAAAAAAAATTTTAAATAACTCAGGTACAGTATAATCTCTTTTAGATGTAATTATATACACATCACTAGAGATCTGGAACAATGCTTATCATGTTAGCTCTGTTGAGATTTTACATATATTGGGTCTTTGGAAAAGTCATGACATATTTTGTCTATGTTTTTCAAAGGTCATTTATTTATATAAAGAACAAAGATCAATCAATGATATAGTGCCCATTTTGTTTGATAACCTTTTGCCATCTTTCAGTGAGCTTCATAATTCCTCGTTCATAAAAAGACCTGTCTTTGTGAAAAACTGAACAAGGTGCTGATTTACAGCCTCTTCGGAATTGAACGTTATACCACGCAAGGAGTTTTGAAGAGAGTGAAACAAGTGTAAGTCTGACCGTGCAAGGTCAGGCGAGTATGGTGGGTGTAGCAACACATCCCATCCAAGCTCCAATCATTTTTGACAGGTGATCAAACTTGTGTGTGGGCTCGTGTTGTTGCGATGGAACACAACTCTTACAATTAACAAGCTCTGGACGTTTCTGGATGATGGATTCGTTCAAACTGTCCAACTGCCGACAGTACACATTCGAACTGATTTTTTGGTTCCTTGGTAGGAGCTCAAAAAACACACCTTTATATCCCACCACACTGAGAGCATAACCTTCCTCTGATGAATGTCTGCTTTCGATGTCATTTGAGGCAAATCATCACGTCGGGACCAAAACCATTTGCGCACCACGTTGTTGTAAACCACATCTCATTACCAGTTATCAGTTGCTTCAAAAAAGGATCGTTTTCCTCACGTTTAATGAGCATACTGCAGATGTTTATATGTACTGTCAAATGAACTTCTTTGAGTTCATGTGGAACCCAAATATTGAGCTTGCTTATGTATCCCAGCTTCTTCAGGTGGTCGTGAATACTTGAATGATAGATGTTCAATGTTTCTGCAATCTCTCTTGTCATGTAACATGGGTTTGACTCGATCAATGCCTTTATTTTGTCGTCATCAACCTCGGTAGGCCTCCCAGACCGAGAAGCGTCATTGAGATCAAAATCACCAGCAAGGAATTTCGTGAACCATCGTTGGCACTGACGTTCTTGTACAGCATTGTCACCATAAACTTTACGCAACTTTTCACAAGCTTGACGCGCATTCTTCCCTTTATGGTAGTAAAATACTAAAATATGGCAAAAATGCAGTTTGCTCTTCCATCTTTAACTTGCTGTAAAATCTCCAAAACTCAACCAAAGCTCAATTTTTTTTAGAATGAAGCTAGAACTGTCAGCTGTCAAATGACATAGCAATAACATAGATGTGAATGACTCTAGGACTTCCAAAAATGAACTAGTGCCACCTGTTGCAAACATGAGTCATGACTTTTCCGAAGACCCGTTTTTTCTTTCCCCTTCTTTATACTTTTCTGTATTTAAATTTTTTACCCCCTTAAAAAATTAAATCTATTTAAAATACTCACTTCACATCTTTATGCAAGGTTATATTTCAACCATCAAAGACTTTCAGAAACTCAAACAAAAGAAATCTCTCAAGCTTACCAGCTTTTTTGAAAAACAATGCTCACTGTTCAAAGACTTGAACCTCTTATTATACCAACTTAGAATTACCTCCTTTTATCAGATGTCAAGGTATGGTGACACCTGTGTGCATGAAAGTACATACAAAAAGGAATCTTTAAGCCCCCAAGGTTATAATGCGTGGCCCCTTCCCCTAAACCTCTTATTCCCTGGTTCCTCTTTATGCCCTTCATCCTCCTCCTCTTCTTCTCCTTGTGTGGCCTCACATTCTCATCTCTGGCCCCTTCCTGTCTAAGTTTGCTATCTGCCATAAGATACTTGCTTAGCCTACAACCCTCTCTATCGACAGGAGAAGCTTGGAGCAGCACTGAGGAAACAATTTTGCCAAATTTCACCTCAAGTTCTCAAAAATCAGTGCTGATTATCACTCTCTCTGGATTCCTTTGCCAAAATCAGTCCAAACAGTAGCTGAGTTTGTTACACTCCCGTTTGCTCTCATTCAAGTCTAGATGGCTCCAAAATCCCCACCTCACACCTGCCCTCTCTTTCTGAGGACAAGTCTGGGTAACTGATCAGCAATTCAAATGACATGTTTACAACCTAAATCCATATCTTTCCTCCCACTTGCCCATTTTCCTTTGCAGAAGCACCTTTCTCCTGGAGCCCTAAGACAGAATTCCACCGTTGCTGATTACTCACTCCCCTAACCACCAGCTTGCCACTCCTTTGATAACTATCTAGTCAATGCCAAAATCATTTTCCTTCAAAAAATACATTCCATAATTTTTCCTATTCTAATTTGGCACAATGCTGCCAGATTAATCTTCTTTTGATATTCATACTCCTCTGCTTAGAAATCATCAATGATTTCCAAATGCCTGCTACTAAAGAACAAACTGAAATTAATAAATACTGAACATCAACTGTAAATAAAAAAATTTTTAAATAACAATCTCAATTGGGCTGGCCGAGTGGCACATTGGGATGCCAGAGGGCCCCGGTTGGGATCCCACATGAGGGCCAGTGACACTGCCCTCTACAGCTAAGATGATGAACAGCAGCTCAACCTGGAGCTGGGCTACTGTAGTCTACAGCCCCTGCTGCAGTGGGTTGCCATGGGCTACCATGTGTAGCCAGCAGTCAGCGTGAGCGGCCAGCAGTCAGCGTGAGCGGCCGTCCAGAAGCTGATGACTGATCTGCCTCGCCCAGGAAGAGCGCAATGATGGTGCCAACTTGGGCCAGTGAAGCAACGGCCTCCACAACTAGACTGAAGAACAAAAGGACAGCAACTTGTCTGTTCCCCTTCCCCCGATTCCCCAGCGCTGTTCCCATTCCCCAATTCCCCAATAAAAATCTTTAAAAAAAAATAAAATAAAAAAATAACAATCTCAAAATTAAGTTTTGTTTTGTTTTTTTTTAAAAAGAAACTCTTCAAGTGTTCAAATTCCCATAGGATCGTCTCATATTTGCTTCTCTAGTATTACTGTCTGCAATGTACGATAATTTTGGAAACATTTCCAAAACAGTACACCTCCAGAGTATTATAGGGATGTTAAGAGATTTAAAAGCAGGGGCAAAAAGTTCAGTATTGAAGTAAGCTTGGGAAATGCTAAACAAAGATATGCAGGTTCGTCCGTGTCAGAACTTTTTAGAGCCCTCACTACACTCACGATCACCGGAATTCTCTAAGAGGTATAGGATATGAAGTGCTTCCCAAGCTTGATTCCCACAGATTCCTTTTTTTACAGAACTTCTTGAGACATGGATGGTTCTCTGAACTTTAGAAAGTCTTGCCTAAAGACATCTCAGACTTTGGATAAAAGCAGATATTCCTGAGCAGGTGGTTTTCTTTCTCACCTCAGCTTATATTCATGCCATTCTTCCTACCAAGAATCCTCACCCCTTTCATTTCTCCCAAGGAAATCATCTCACACTTTAAGAACCAACTCGAAGGCCACCTCTTAAATATTCTCTTAACTCATAGCACCATGGTTATGATACAGCAAGTTAGAGCACCTACCCAGGAGCCACCCCTGTACTTTAGTAATTCAAGTAGATTTTGTATGTGCATGATTTATGAATAGGATTTTTTCTCATCCATATCTTCTGTATGGCAGATATTCAAATATCTAACATACTACCTTTTCACTTTTAATCTTTGCTTACAACGAGGAACAACCTAAATGTCCATCAATAGAAGTCCATCCATATCCAGCATTGCATATTATGTGCACACTCAGAATTATGTGAATCTATATCCATGGCAACAGCTATCCTATGAACACAGAAGTATTAATTTTTGCTATCACTGAAAACAGATCAAACAGCCCATGTAAGAGCTGTTTGAAAATTATTCCAAAATGTTGGGATATTCACAGAAATGACTGACAGCATATGAATATGGGAGCAAATATTGGAGGGAAGGATACAGGGCCTGTGAAGTCGGAAGATATGGGATCTGATTACTGATGAGCAAGAATGAGTCAACTTCACAAAGGAAGAACACAGTAGAAATGAGGGAAAAAACTGAAAACAAAAGTAGATATAACCGTTATTTCTTATAACTATAAACATGTCTACTCACCTGGTTATTCTCTATTTCCCAGTGGATCACTTGATTATCAGATCCTCCAGAAACTAACTCTGTAGAAGGAGCTGAAAAAAATTTTATCTCAGTAAATATTTTTTTACCAGCTATTTTGAAAATTTTCAAAGCTATAGAAAAGATGTAAGAAAATGTATATATCCTTTACCTAGATTCACCAACTGTCAACATTTTGCCATATTTGCTTAATAGCTTGCTCTTTGTGTGTGTGTACATATATATATGCACAGACCTCTGTTTTTGACAAACCATTTAAAAATAAGTTGTAGACATTGGTACCTCTGATCCTCAAACACTTTACCACATATCTCCTAAGAACTGGAACATTCCCCTACGTTACCACCATACAATGATCACATTCAAGAATTTCAACACTGATACAGTATCATTATGTAATATACAGTACATATTAAAATTTCCCCAAATTGTCCTATATTTTTTATAACTTTTCTAAAAATTCAGAATCTAAGGACCACACATTATATATACATTTGTCATAGTTTTTAAGTCTCCTTTAATATAGAATAGTTTCCGAGCCCCTCCTTTTTTGCGCCAATTAGAGTCCCAGCCAGTTGCTTTGCAGAAATGTAGACGGAAAAGGGACCACATGTTAAACCTGAAAAGCTCAGGAGACTGAAAATATAGGATAGCATGAACATAAAAATTCCTAACTAAGGTGGGCCATTGCTGGAAGTCACCTCCTTAGCCTGTAGCTTCCTTGACAAAGGTCAATCTTTACCTTAAGCCTATCTATTGTATTTTTGCATCTAAGATAACATACCCTTGTAATGTCAGAGTAATCTCTTTTTCCATACCGCAACCCCCCCCCCCCCACCAGGGGACACAACCCAACCCACCACACCAGAGCAGGAATCTACAAAATCCCTCATTGTTATCTTGTTCCCCAAATACAATATTTATGTGCTGTAAAATGCTATTAATTATGCTGTACCCACCAATGTAAAAGAAGTGTGTGTCTCTCCATTTTACTTTTTATCCAATTCCAGAGATTTCATCCCTGCTTTGCTTTCTCCCACCCTCTTAATCTACAACCAATGGATTTCATGTAACCTTCCTCCTTTGATTCTAATGTATAAAATAAGTTGCAAAACAGCCATTTTCTGGAGCATTTTCTCAATCTCAAGACTTTGATTCCCAGCAATAGTCAGTTTGGCTCAAATAAACTCTTACAAGTTTTCTCTTAGGCTGAATGTTTTTTGTCGACAAGTCCTTCAATCTGGATTTGTCTGATTGTTTCCTCATGTAAGATTCAGACTAAATACTTTTGGCAGAAATAATACATATGACACATTATACTCAGCTGCTATTATCAAGGATATGAGATATTTTTGAGATCAGACACATGTTATCAACTTCTTGTCGATAATAGGGGAAAAAAAGGAGTAAGAACCAAAAAAGGAGGAAAATAATCTAATATAATTTTGGTTTGGATTTTCCATTTATTTGTTTCTTCTGGCCTATGTGCTAGATATTTAGGGCAAGCAGCAGGGGATTGTCTAAAGAACATTAGATATGTACTCAGAAGTCCCAGGTTCATATCCTAACACTGCTGCCAACCAGATGTAGTCTTGGACTTTAATTTCTTCCTGTGTCCAGAAATTAAGCCATTTACCTAACTACATGATTTTCAGAATTACTATAAGGTATCTGAAAGTAGTGTGTTAAAAATAAGACATTTTAAGAATATGAAATGATATTAAAACCTTCCATGTCACTGATACATGGTTTAGAAAGAATATCTGAATTACCTGGTGGTAGAGCTCTATTCTTAAGAGGAAATCAATCCGAATAGTTACATATTACAGTGATATACAAGCATTTCATTATATGTAACCTCACTTTTAAAGAGAAGATAAAATATATAAGCCCAAATTAATATAACAAATCCCTCTACTGAGATTCAAGTAGTCTTTGATGTCATTTGGTGGCAATTAACATAATTACACTTGTGTTTTAATATGTGCACTAACAGCCACTCTTTCTACTATTTAATGGTTTCTATCGACATAATGTGACTAATCCTACATTATCAACTGAAATAAGTAGCATATTCAACTTTTTAAAAAATATCACAGAAGAAAATCATAGCAGAGTCACTAATTCAGGAAATTCTTCAACTGCCTGGCTCGGTATGCGCTCAATAAATGTTTATGGAATTAAAAATAAAATTAATTCTGAATCCATGAGAATACCACAGTAGGTATATTTAAGACACTTGAGATAATTCCATAGGATTTTGGAAGCACTATTTAAAAGCAATATGTTAATTAAAAATTCTGAAGTCATAGAATCTTAGAGATGAAAGAGATCTGGAGATAATCTAGTTCAGCAATTCTCAAGTTTTTGGTATTAGGACTCCTCTATGCACTTACAATTTTTGAGGATCCCATAAAGCTTTTGTTTATATGGACTATATGCACCAATATTAAACACATTAGAAATTTAAACTGAGAAATGTTATCACTTTAGTTAAAAAACAACGATAAACTCCATTACATGTTAATAAAAATAACATTTTTATGGTGGGGGAAAACCCTACATTTTCCAAAACAAAAAAACTAATGAGAGGCACTGTTTTACATTTCTGAAAATCTCTTTTAACGGCTGACTTTATTAGAATACAGCTAGATTTTCATATCTGCTTCTGTATTTAATCTGTTGTAATATCACACACAAATCACACAGCTGCTGAAAAGCATCACTGTATAATACTGATAGAAAGAGAATGAAAAATGTGAATAACCTCTTGGTATTACTGTGAAAATAATGTTGACCTCAGAGGCATCACAACCCTCTAAGGGTCCCTTGATCCAGAACAAGCCTTTACTTTTCAGGTGTTACTAAGGTGCAAACTGGGGTCAACAAAAAGATGCAATGTTTTGACTAAAAAAGCGATAGCTTCTTTGTGGCAAAAACAGCCCTACAAGCCAAATCTGAATCCCAGCCTGGGCCCCAACATGGGCCTTGCCTACAGGTTTTCAAGCAGAAGCTGTGGGCAATGGCAGGGGTCTTGCCACAGTCAGGGGCTGCCTCTGTCTACCCTCATCCTAAGTACTGCTATGTTGTCCATGCTCCAACTGCTATAAAGTGAAAGTACAGGCCGCATTACTTCATTGGGCATACCATTTTTCTTCTATTTTCCAATTGCATAATATCAGTAAATTAAGAGAAGTAATGACAGAAAAATGACTAATCATACTTTATCAGAAAACAACTGAGATCGGCTTTGATAATCTGATTAATACTTACAACCATCCTGTTTACAAATCCACTGTATGCAATTAACTCGAGCAGTGTGACCGTTCAGGTTGGTAACAACAACCCTTTTCTTTAACAAAGAAAACACCAGTTAGGAAATTACAATCTATCCTACAGAGGAATTAATAAAATAATAAAAACCAGGTTTCAGTTTTTTGAAGCTAATAAAAAACTCAGGATTACTTCAAACAGAATCACCTTCCTTAATTTATAAACGTGGGCTTAAACCATCCGTTCACTCTAATTCATTCTTTTTCGCCACTTCACATTCCCAGTTTCGTGTGCTCTCATCACACTGAGCTCCGAGATCTTCATCTGCCTACCCTCCAGCTTACCAACCTTCTCCCCTCTCCAACCCCTGTCCTTCTCATTTGGGGAGCCTGTCTTGATACCCCAGGCTAGACAAGGAACCTCTTCCTCTTGCTCTCACAGGGCTCAGGGCCTACTTATACTACGCTTGCATTAATTTGAGGGTTTTGTGGACAAAAACCAAAAAAAGCCAAAAAAACAAAAAACAACCCACCTTCAATAGAGGGATTCATGACTAATGGATAAAAATTCATGGCTTACTTTGCATGTCATGGCTAATCAGGTGTTGGGTTCTTGAGCCTTAATGATTAATGACACAAGGTCATCAGGCCACAACTACTAAGTTCCTCAGACATCAGATCCCTTCAGAGCCTAAGCCCAGGTTCCCAAAAGATCCTCAGCTGCTTTCACCGACATTACTCCCCACTTGGGCTTTCTTTGCTTCACTCACTGCTGAAGACATTAACTCTATGACTACAGTGCCTTCCTCTTTACAGCCCCTTTCTCTATTTACTGCCAGCTGCACTGGTTTCATATCCACTTATATGCCAACTGGAATTCTCATGGCTGAGAAAACGACACAGAGGTAAATGTGTGTAACTAGTGTATTTCCTACATGGTTTATTTAAGGCTGGAAAACAATTTACAATATTTCATTTTCTCTCTCACTAGATTGAGAATTCCTTAGTGGGCAGGAATTATTATCCATTATCTTTGTGTCATTACCACCCAGGCCAGGGAAAGCTCACAGAGAGTCCTCAAAAATTTGCTGAATATCATCCCCAAAACTTTATCTTAGCATCTAACATGCTCTTATTACTACATTTAATTAAATGCCCAACCAGCAAATATTTAACAAAACAAAGTACTTTTTAGGTTCAATATATTTCCTTTTTGATATGTTAAAATCCCCTAACATGGCCACCAGGTTATCATTAAAAATAAAAATGTTAAAAAATAATAATAAAATAAAAATGTGATGTAAGGCATGGACACAAATCCATTAAATAGCTGCAGAAAGATGATAGGCTTCTACAGCTGAGTCTGTCCTTGGTTGATGGCCACTGTCAGTCAAGTTTACCCTTGAATTTATGTGCTTTCTCTTGACAGTTAAGGGTACATGGCAATAACAAGAAACAAAAACTGGAAGGAGGCAAGCAAGCTCAAGATATGAAAAGCAAATACAACTATTTCCTATATAAACTGTGAATCTGCAACGGGTGTGAAGATAATGGAATTTTAATCAAGTTAATAAGGCAGTACAAGAAATGCATATAGCTATCTCCTGCACTGCACTTTAATTTCCAGCACTTTGCTTTTTATACTAAGGCTCTTTTTGAGAAGCAACTCTAACTTTACTGTCCAAAATTGGCCAGAGGGGATGATCAAGACGAACTCTAGGAAGCATGCAAAAACTAGCCGTTTGAGAAGTATGATGAGGAAAGGACCAAGAAAATAGTCAACTGAGGGTGAAGTTCAGGAAATGAGTTCGTTAAGTCCTGCCTTATAACAAGTGCTTGGGGTCCCCATCCCCCCTATGAACTTTACCCCAATGGCACGCTCTTTAAAAAAACCCAAAGCTAAAATTCACGTGACATATTTTTGAAATTCAATACAACAAATGTTTATAAAATAACACCGCGAGAAACACGCAAATAAAACAGCAGCTGTAATAATAGATTTAATTCATACCTAAACTGCAAACCTTTTTAAACCCAAACTAATTCTTTAATAGTATTACAGTTCCTCCCAGAAGGTTTCCGAAAAGGTTGCCATCACTCGGGTTTCTACGTGGGGTTAACAGGACACTGATAGGACAAGGTGACGGCGTGGAACGAGCCTGGCACGCCCACCAAAGAGTCCTGGTCCAGACACCCTCCCCGAAGCAGGCAAGACCGCACACCCATCCGCCCCGAGCGCATGCAGCAGATTCCGCCGCAGAAGCATACGGGGTCGAGCGATCGGTCACCTCTCTTACCCGAGGGTCATAGAGCACGACCGAACAGGAAGTGCCGAAGGCCAGAAGCCCTCCGGGCCCGGAGCTCCAGCTCAGAGCTCCCCGCACCCGGTTCGGGCAGCAAAACACGTGAGAGGTCTCCAGCACGGCTGCCACCATGTTGCTGGCTGGTCAGTGGCCGAGACCTAGCCGCGCACTTCCGCCCTCTGAGCGGAACTACTCGCAAGGACACCTCTCCGGCTGGCGTTATCCGCACCGCGTTTCAGAGGCGGCCGGAGGCGTGGCGGAGGCGGCCGGAGGCGTGGCGGAGGCGGCCCGGCCCCCCCCGCCGGCCCCGCCCCCCGCCCTGGCCCGAGGGGTCCTCAGAGCCCTGACTCTGCTATCTCCTCTAGTCTCTCGGGCAGTGGCCCAGCGCACAAACGCGGCCTCAGTCCTAGAGGCGAAGACCCGGCGAGAGTAGCTCAGGACCTTCCAGAAAGACCCGCGGCTCGAGTGCCGGGGCAGCTCAGGAACGTCCCGCTGCCCTTCGCCCAGGCTCCCTGCAGCCGACGGGGAGCCTTGGCAAGCGAGTCTCGGACCTCACACAGGCGCAGGAGCGCAGGGGGATCAAAGAAAGGGTCCCCAGCTGGTCTCAGCGCTCACAGTTCGATCGGACTGAGCCTTCGCCCCATCCCTCCCCGGCGAGCCCAGCGGCGCCGGCGAACAGGCGGACACGCGGATCCGCCGACGGGGAACGGGGTTCGAAGCCACATTGCGCATGCCCGGCAGTCAGGGCCGGCGGAGGCGGTGGTTCCCGGTAGCGCGCTGCGCGCGGCGGTAATTAGTAATTGTCCTGCTCTGGGGAGGAGAAAGCGCGTGGGGCGCGGCTTCCCCGTGGCTGCGCGGCGGTACCCGGGACTGAAGAGCAGCCGAGCAGATGAGACCGCCGCTTCTCCGTGCGGTGTAGAGGTTTCGGGAGAGAGAGAGAAGCACGGGCCGGATCCGAGCCCTCTGGACCGCCTGCGGGGAACTGAACCTGCGCGCGGGGCCGGGCCGTAGGACTGCGAGGCCGCGGAGAGGTGAGTCTGCAGGTCCGGGATGGGGCTGCAGAGAGGGAGCCCCGCGGGACTGGAGGCCTGACTTCCTAGTTTGAGGTGCACAGATGGGCTTTGGGGTCCAACGGAGGACTTTTCTGAGGAAACGGTCTGTATTACTCATCTCCTATTCGAAGAAGGTAGGGTCGTGTTTAAAAATAAAAAGCCCATAGAAGCAGTTGTGTGCCCTCTTTCCGGTTCTCTCCGCTCGCCCCTTTCTCCAGGTCTTTTCTTCCGGCTTTCTTTTTGTCCTCCAACACACGCGGACTTGCAGGGATGGAGGTCCGCCTGAGGGTCGGCGACCGCCTTAAACATCCTTCCTGGAGAAAGGCACGGAGCTGCCCCCCCTGAACGGGACGTCTGTGCTTGTCCCCACCCACCCCGCCTCTTGCTTCTCTCCTGTGAATGATTTCTTTCCTATTAAAACTTCAGGCTCCAAAGCTTGTTCTTTCAGGAGTCTAGCCCTATGGTATTTATGTATCCTGTACTTCCATATTCTACTGTTCTCAGTGTGCTGCTAAGCAGCAGCTGTGCAACACTGCCGACATTGTTTGGAGCACCTCCACATCCATCCATCCGTTCATGTGGTTTCCTCAGTCGCCCTGAAAAATGGGGGTTTCCAGCTCTTCCTGGTACCAGGAAGAACAGCTGAAAATGATAGAGCAAGGTTGCCCCAGGCCCTTGCTGTCTTGCTCCAGAGAACCCGACCTCTGGGTCTTTGCTGGAGGCAGATGAGTTTAGTCACGATTACCATCCATCATTGGTGCTGGACATCTGCGGGTCCTGAGATACCAGTCTGCTTATACCTTCCTCCGCATCACTGAATTCTGCTTTGCAAGTCTCAACTGCATTCCTAACTCCTCTTTGGAGCATAGGCCTTTAATTCCAAACACCATTGTCTGGAGGAGTGATCGTCTGATAAAATTTTCACCGGTTTATAGCAATATAAGAGTGATATAATTTTTCATGAAGTTTAATTTACTTAAGGAACTATTCGGTCATTCAAAAAAATGAGAGTAGTCTATATGTACTGACATGGAAAGAAGGCATTTGTTGAGTGGGAAAAAATATCCCATTTGTGTGAAATGCATGTTTCCTTGAGTATGCGTAGAAAATATCCTGAGGCAGCCACAAGAAACAGGCAAACTTGGGCGAGTTGGAGGAGTGGTAGTGGGGGAAAGAAGCCTTACATTGATTTGTATGTAGTATGTAGTTTAAGAAAAAATTTAAATGGGAATTATTCTGAGGTTGTCATATTTACTCTTTGATGTTGAAATATTGTTTTATGAAATGATGATGGTGGTGGTGGTAGAAGTAATTGGGTTTTGTTTTGAATCATTGTTCTCAACACAATAAGAAGCTGCCAATATGGCTGTGGCCACATGGATCTCTCCAGTGTCTGAGTTAAGTCTGTTAGCACTCAGCGGTTCTCCAGTTGTTTCACATGTTTTAGCAGGGTAGAGGCTAGGCCTCTCTAGTTCTCTATATTTTCACAGTATTTAGCAGTGTGTTTGTCACACTAAACAGTGCTGTGTAAACCTTGGTTAGACATCAATTTTCAGCAGGAGAGTTCTTAATTGTTTTAGAAGTGAAGGCAAGAATCTTTTGTGTTTGTGTCTTCTCTAGGAAGGTGCAATGGCGACGAGTTTATCTGTAGTCTTGATCCTGACCTTCACCCTGTCAGTCACAAACCCCCTTCGTGAACCTGAACCAGCAACTGCTTTCCCTCAGACCACTGAGAAAATTATTCCGAACTGGGAATCTGGCATTAATGTTGATTTGGCAGTTAACACACAGCGACATCATCTACAGCAACTTTTCCATCGCTATGGAGAAAATAATTCCTTGTCGGTTGAAGGTTTCAGAAAGTTGCTTCAAAATATAGGCATAGATAAGATGAAAAGAATCCACATACACCATGACCACGAGCATCACTCTGACCACGACCATCACTCTGACCACGACCATCACACTGACCACGACCATCACTCAGACCACGACCATCACTCTGACCACGACCATCACTCTGACCATGAGCATCACTCTGACCATGAGCATCACTCTCACCGTAATCACGCTGCGTCTGGTAAAAATAATCGGAAAGCTCTTTGCCCAGACCATGACTCTGATAGTTCAGGTAAAGATCCTAGAAACAGCCAGGGGAAAGGATCTCACCGATCAGAACATGCGAATGGTAGAAGGAATGTTTTAATCAAGGATGGTATTGGTGCTAGTGAAGTGACTTCAACTGTGTATAATGCTGTTTCTGAAGGAACTCACTTTCTAGAGACAATAGAAACTCCAAAACCTGGAAAACTTCCCAAAGATGTGAGCAGTTCCACTCCACCCAGCATCACAGAAAAGAGCCAGGTGAGCAGGCTGGCTAGGAGGAAAACAAATGAATCTGTGAGTGAACCCAAAAAAGACTTTATATATTCCAGAATCACAAATGAAAATACTCAGGAGGTAAGAAAAGTGGTATTCTTATTTTAATCAACATGCCTGCTTGTGTGTCCTGTCATTGCCATTCTGTCTGTAGGTGTAAGGAGTTTAATAAAATGGTGAGGTTATTGAAAAGGGAATTTCTACTTTGTCAGCAAGGCTTTTAACCCAAAGTGTCCCTCCTATGTTGTAAATATTTCCGATACAAAACTTGGGTGATAGTAAGAATAGTGCTGCCTGCTTAAACTATCTTATGTAGAATTTAAAATAAGTATAGAAAGTATATATTGAAGTTATTTTGGAGAAAATCTTGAACAGTGATTATTATTAATAAAAATAGAAAAAGGGAGGTTGAAAAAGCAGGAGTGAGAATTTATGATTTAGGAAAAGGTGTGGTTGAAGGGGCTGAAGAACGCAAGAACAGTGTTACCTCCTTGGCAGAGGGATCACAATGACTTGTGGAGTGATTGAAATTGGAGCTGCTTCCAAGAACGATGTACTGGACAAGTGAATGTCTGGGCAGTGAAGTTTTGAGTTTATTTGTTTTTTCAAGACTAGGCTTCCAGACTGTACACAGTTTGCCTTAACTAAAGTTGTCAAGAACAAGGAATTAGTATATGTTATTTAGCGAAACTTAAGTGCTTCATTCAAGCCATCTGTATTAATTCTGCGATAATCCTATTAATAATGGTCATTCCCATAGGGATACTGGTGATAAAGTTTGTTCCAAGTAGTAGTAACCAAGAATTGTGAGAGTTTAAAATAACTTTATAGAAGATGAGAAACAGGTGCTACTGCCAATTTTGGGGATTGGGGGGGACTTTGATTGCTCAAAGGAGGTTCTCTTCAAACTAGTCAGCTAATTAAATTGTTGAAACAGCGGCCTGCCAGTACAGGTTTGTTTTATTACCAGCCTTGCCCTGCTCAAGAGTAATGTGCATAATTTAATATCCTCTCATAGAGAATTTTTTTGCCAGGTATGTAGACAGAACTAAGCTAAGTTTTGCAAGTATGGTCATTACTGGAAGAGTCATGTGTCTTGGGCTTGTTTAGGCCAGGCAGGGTAGCGTTAGTACTAAAACAACATATTTCTCAATATCTTAATGAACCCCATCTTGAAATTAAAGCTCATTTCCTTAATAGGTTTATACAATGAGTTAACAGGCTTGTGAATGTTCATTTATCCTCAAGCTTATTCCACTTGAGGCTTGACGGGTGATGTGACTGTTTCTACCAAGAAGAAATAGGCAGAGAGGTGGGATACTACTATTGTGACATAGTATCTCTAGGCAGCTTGAGGAGAGTTCCAAAGTACTCAAAAGTTGATTTTAATTAGGGTTGACTTAAAAAAAATAAAGGATTAAGCTTCAGTAAGGAAGGAGTGTTGTGTCATCAAACAACTGTTTTGGATTCTCTAATGGGAATGCCTTTTGGTGATTCTCACTGTTTTGTTTTTTTCAGTGTTTCAATGCGTCAAAGCTGCTTACATCTCATGGCATAGGCATCCAGGTTCTGCTGAATGCAACAGAGTTCAACTACCTCTGCCCAGCCATCATCAATCAAATAGATGCTAGATCGTGTCTGATTCATACGACGAGTGACAAGAAAGCTGAAATTCCTCCAAAGACCTACTCTTTACAAATAGGTAGAATTGCATTTTTAATGTAAAAATAATTTCCAATAAATACATTTATATTGTAGTTTTCCTTGTATTTACATCAACCTATTTGTTTTTCAGCATAATTTCAAATATGCCATCTTAATTGTTCTCTGCCTTGAATGTGATGAAAGCAAGCGTGTTAGCCTTACCCTTAAAAACAAAACAAAACAAAAAACAAAGCTTCAATTGTAACTTGGCTGTGTTAGCCTTACCCTAAAAAAAAGGGGAAATGGGGGAGGAAACATAGGTTGTAACTTGTCTGAGGTCATCCCATCCGAAATTTGGGCTTTTTATATGTTGTCACACTGTTGAGGAGGAAGGATCAGAGTTAATCTCTGCTGTTTAGGAGCCTAATTCTGGTCTGTTCTTATTAATAAATGAAACTAGGATAAGTTCTGCTATAGTGTAGAGTTTCAGTGCTCAAAAACTATAATAGATAATTGCTCTGTTTACTGAAGAAATTATTAAATTCCCACTTTCCTTCTCTCTCTTCTTTTTTTTAAACTTTTCCCTCTTCTCTTTTATAATTTAGGTGTTATGAGAGTCTGAAAGTTCAGTTCCCAAGTGAGCTAGAATTCATCCTTATGTACCATTTTTTTCACTCCTAGCTGAAGAATTTTCCACAAGGCTTATGCTCTTGATCTGGAGGGTTCCGTTAGACTGTTCATTTGAGCCTCTTCCTTGGTGGTTGCGCTGTTAACTATAGTCCTGTTCCACTGTGTTTGTATTTTAACTTCCCTACTTTTACAAGTTGCTTTATGCTACTTCAAAGTCTGTCTTTTAAAGTTTATCAGTTGTATGCTTTTTCCTTTGCTCTGTTTTCTGTTTGACAGCCTGGGTTGGTGGCTTCATAGCCATTTCCATCATTAGTTTCCTGTCTTTGCTGGGTGTTATCCTAGTGCCTCTGATGAATCGAGTGTTTTTCAAGTTTCTCCTGAGTTTTCTGGTGGCATTGGCTGTGGGGACCTTGAGTGGCGATGCGTTTTTACACCTTCTTCCACATGTAAGTAATTTGTCCTATTAGTGTCTTTTATTTGACATTGAAAATATACATGTGTTTTTTTTGGTTTGTATTAGAAGTCTTTGAATTGATATATATAAAAGATTAGAAATTTGGTTTAGAGGAGTTGATTTTAAAATATATTTGGTAACCAAAAGCCGCTTTTTTTTGCTAAATTTTAGGATATGTTCATTTTTTTTGCTTTTCTTTTTAAAAGGAATTTACTAAATCCAGACTAATTTAACTTTTTGGAAAGCAGTTACTAAAAGGAGACGGATTCTACTCAAATGTTAGTACTGGGACAGACTGCAGCAGGTGATTCATGTATTTCTGTGGCAATTACATTAACATGTAAGAAACAAGAAACATGACTCTATGTACCCAAGAAACTTAAGAGTTTTTTTCAGAATTGAATTTATGTGTGTATTTAGAAGTTTATACCTTGTGACATGACTAAATTCTTAAATAAAAGCAAGTTTGGTAAAGTGAATTTACTTTTCCATTAAATATTTGGGATAGGTACATAGGCAAGAAATATTTGGATCTCATTTTCTAAATTTCCTTTAGAGATTTGCAGGCAAGTGGCAAGAACATTACTGTATTCCTAGCTTACTGTATATTTCATCATGTTTCATTCAGTAGTGAAATATAACTATTTTGCTGTGATAAACTTTCTAACCATCAGATGGCAGAGATTCAGGAATACCTGCTGAACAAAGTGGCATGTGCATGTGACTCCCTCCCAATCTCACCTGTGTTAGTATGTGCCACACCCGATTTCCTAACATGTAGGCAGTAGTTTCCCCGTAGGCTACAGGGCCATGCACCTATGCTGGCAGTAGTCCCCTGTAGGCCCCTGGGCCATGCACCTATGTGGGCAGTTGTTCCCCCATAGGCTATTGGGCAGTACACCTGGAACTCAGGTACATGCCAGGGCCTATTACAGCTTCTTGTAAGGACACTGATGATACTGGTGTGAGCTTCTCACCTGGGAGTATAAGCAGTAAACACTATCTGCCCATTAAGTCTGGCAGTTCCCTATTATTTGTGTCCATGGTAACTTGTCAAACATTGAAAATACCCACTACCTATGTATTATGAGGGTCATTGGGAAATGTATCTGTCTTTACACTGACCAGATCCACTTTTAAATGTCATAGGGCATTGAATACTTCATAACTAGCTGCTTGTTGGTCATTTTATTTTTAATATCCTAAACTTCCCCTCATTCCAAGATATCCCATAAATTGCCTAATTCTGAATCATTTCCAATTTGACCTTATTATCTTAGTCTATTTTTCTGATGTGTGTGAAACTAATGACTTTATGAAATACATGTTGTTCTGCCTTTAGTCGCATGCAAGTCATCACCATAGTCACAGCCATGAAGAAATAGCCATGGACATGAAGAGAGGGCCACTGTTCAGTCATCTGTCTTCTCAAAACATTGAAGAAAGCGCCTATTTTGATTCCACATGGAAGGGCCTAACAGCTCTGGGAGGCTTGTATTTCATGTTTCTTGTTGAACATGTACTCACATTGATCAAGCAATTCAAAGATAAGAAGAAAAAGGTAAGAAAAAGTATACTGAGTACTTACATGCACTAGACATTTATTTAGAGTAGCACTCTAAACTGTTAGAATTTGTCCAGAGCGTATAATCTTCATTTGAGATGGGATTGAGTTTTCTTGAGATACTTTTTTGCTCCCAGAGGAATTAGCAGAGAGCAATTCTGTATCTTTATAATCCCAGAAGTTCTCTATCTCCAGAATTTCCTTCAAACTCATGAGAGGGTAAGAAAGGCAAGGATGAACATCTGTGTAAATGACCAAACAAGGCGCAAGCAGGGCCTCAAAGATCAGAAGCATCATGATTATGGCCTTGATGGGGGTGATGGTTTCACAGGTGTATACTTATCCCCAGACTCACTGAGCTGTATACATTAAATATAGACAGCTTTTTATATGTCAGTCATACCTCAAAAAAGTGGTTTAAGAAAAAAGTGTCGTGGATACACCATAAATATTTATTGGTAGTTATGACTAATTATGTGATTAAATTATTCACCCAGTAGCTGGATATTCTGTTTTATTTGAAAGAGTTTGTGACTTGCACAGACTTGCCCTTTGCAAACTGTCACCAGAAAATAGTATGAAGCCAAAGAGTAGACTCTTTATTACTGGTAAAAATTAACTTTGAGTTGCCTGTGATTATCTGCCCCTTATCTGATGTGACAGGCAAATTAGTCAAAAGACTATCGGGACTCTTAAAAATTACTCGTACACATCTTGGACATTTTAATTTAAAACATTTGTATGCTGTTTCTGGTCATTTGATGTTGACCAAGATTTTTTCTAAGTTGGAGTTCTGTGTGATGATTTTTTTTTTTCAACAGCCATCCTGCTTCATCTACGATTTCCAGTTTCGGTTTATCTAAAATTGTTCAAGAGGCTACACACTTGTAAAGCTATTTTGAACGCAGAATCAAATTAAATTTTATATTGTTGTCACCTTACATAATTTGATAACCTTTTTTTTAAAAAAAGCAACTTGCCTTTGAATCTTTCATAGCCATTTAACTTAAATTTTCATAGAAGTTAACTGTTCTCACCGTGATCACATGGTTTGAGCAATATGTTACTAAATTGTGCAGTTAAAATATCAAGTATAACTGTCATGAAGAGGTTTGAAAAGTAACATAGTTGATTCTTGCTGAGCATAGAGCTCAGTGTAGGAAACAAGTGCATATGTGAACAGATGAATAGCCTCCTGCTCCATCCTATGAATATTTGACCTTATGGAGTTTATATTCACTAAAATCTCAAATTGCCTATTTTGAACCTTCTCTTTACTGGACCTAAATTTAAAGGGAAGAAGTGAAATAATAGCTTATTCATTCTTTTTATAAAATTTGATTGGGTAACAGTGTGTTTTTCCAGGACCTGTCAGCTCCAAGTCAAGTAGTTGTTTCAATCTGGTTTTGGAGGGCACAACTCAGTGGCCCATGTGGGGATTGAACCGGCAACCTTGGTGTTATGAGCACTGCAGTCTAACCAACTGAGCTAACTGGCTGCCCCGGTTTATTCATTCTTAATCCAGGAAGTCATCCGTGTTCCTGTTGTCCGCATTGCTTCACGTGGACTGTTTTGAGGAAATTTCCTACTCTTTACATTCTCTGGAATTATTCTTACCTTAAAACAACAAAAGATCATTTTTAGTTTTTTTAAGGGGGTCAGTTGGAGGTTGGTTGCTTTTACTGTTTTTTTTTTTGTTCCAAATGCCATAATTTATTGAGCATTGTAATTTCAATTTGGTTTTCAAATTTTCCTTGAAGATAACTTTTCTTTAATCTGGCCCTCTTTAACGTGGGACTCTAAGAGGCAGGCTCTCTATTATCTAATATAGAACAGTATTATTCAAACTCTGGATTATAACTCAGTGGGTTGTGAAATCAGTCTTGTAATGTGACCATTTTAAAATGCAACAGTGATGTTACAGTCTATTACATGTATTACTATGGATATATTACATATATTACTGTAGATTATAGCAAAAATTTGGTAATCTCTTTCTAAACTAAAATAATTTCTACTATTAATAGAATGTAAGGTCTTAATAGCCAGGACCTCTTTGTCTGGTTTATTGCTATATCTCCAAAGACTAGCACATAAGAGATGATTTAAAAATATTTGTTGACTCTATAAGAAACATTATACAGCAAGTAAGCATAATTTCTAGATAAAGACTCCCTACAGGAATTTTGCAAACATTATTATTTTCTCTGCCTTTTTAGAATGCATTAAGTATCTTTTTCTCAAGGGCATCCAGATCTTAGTTTTACTCCCTTAACAGTTTTTAATCTCATACGGTTTTATCACAAAGAAAAAAAAAGTCAATCCATTATATGGCAAGTGTTGGGAGCTCTTTAGACCCAAAACAGGACAGTTTACCTAGGATTTTACTGAAGACATCTATCCTGCACCCCTGGAAAATTCTGGGAATCATAGTTTTAGGTTACCTGCTCTATATGTCTGTCTGAAACCTCATATTCAAATTAGGGTTACATCTCATACTTGATATAGATAGCAATAGTTCAACCTCAGACTTTTTACCAGTAAAGGTTATTGTTCATGCTGAAAACCTGAGAAGCGTCCGACATCTCCCTCCACATATCCAACCTAGTTTTATTAAATATACCCAGAGTCTTGCCATTTCTGTCCATCTTCTTTGCCGTTGTTCTAGTCCAGGCCATGCGTATCTCCCACCTGGGTGACAGCAGTTGCCTCCTAACTGGCCTGTCTACATTATTTTGTCTTCTCCCAACCCAGAGCAAAGCAGGCAGAGTGATTTGTGTAAATGAAAATCTGATGAGGTTGGACTCCATTCCTTGAAATCCTTCCTTTAAGGCCGGCTGAGTGGCGCATTGGTTAAGAGTTGGCTTTTGGGACGCCAGCTCTGAGCAGCAGGGCAACTGGTTCGGATCCCACTTGGGCCGGTGACGCTGCGCCCTCTACAGCTAATATGGTGAACAATAGGCTGCAGTGGGGCTGGCCAACAGCGGGCGTGCGCTTTCGTGAGCTGCCATGAGCCGCCTTGAGCAGCCGTTCAATGGTTGGTGAGCAACTGCCTCACCTGGGAAAAGCGCAATGATAACACCAACATGGGCCAGTGAAGCGATGTCCTCCACAACTAGACTGAAGAACAAAAAAAAGACAGCAACTTGTCTGTTCCCCTTCCCTGATTCCCCAACGCTGTTCCCCTCCCCCAATTTTCCAAAAAATTATCTTAAAAAAAACAAAACAAAACTTCCTTTAGTGATTTCTCATTGCTTTTAGGACAAAGTCCACAACTCCTAACAGGCTTCCATTGTCTGGTGTCCTCCAGCCACCCAGCCTTATCGCGAGCCACCCTGTCTCTGACCTACTAGGCCCCAACCAACTTGTCCTTTCTGTTCAGGTCAGGCTGGCCCCTTTCGCTTTAGGACTCTCCCACACACTATTCCTCCTTGCCCGGAATACTGCCTCCCCTGTCCCTCCCCAGTAAACCCCTGCTCATCTTTAGCTCTTGGTATAAATGTCACTTTCTCAAGGAAGCCTGTCCTAGTAGAAATTGGTATTTATACCAGGAAAGTGACAAGCCTATCCTGTCATTGTTATACACTCTTGGTTAGCAGATTACTAAATGCCTGAAGAAAATGCCTCTAGATGCTTCTAAATTGATATCCTGAGGCAGAGCTCAAGTTTACCTGGTATGAGTCACCTGGGGATCTAGTTAAAATCCCCATTCTGATTCATTAGGTCTGGGTGTGGCTTGAGTGCATTTCTAACGAGCTCCCAGGGGATGCTGCACTGCTTATGTAAGACCACACTTAGAGTAGATGACATAGGGGGCATTCGAAACGGTGATTTTTCTATGCTTCTATTACTGAGGCAGATTCTTCGCCTTTCTGAACAGCTCCTATGCCTAGGAGACACTGCTAGGTACTGTGCAAGTACAGGCCCTGCCCTTAGGTGGCTTTTATTCCAATACAGGTCTGTTACTCTTGTCTTTTCTATATCTTTTGCTTAACTATCTTTTTAAAGCTGTGTACATAAGCAAAATCAACTATTTTAAAGGATCACTGTCTCTTCTTATTTTAGAATCAGAAAAAACCTGAAAATGATGATGATGTGGAGATTAAGAAGCAGTTGTCCAACTATGAATCTCAACTTTCAACAAATGAGGAGAAAGTAGACGCAGATGATCGTAAGTTCTTATGAATTTGAGGGCTGGAGGGAGTTCATTACTCTGCAATTTGCTGACAGTTTGGACTGTCTTCTGTTTTTTAATCTCATACTTTATAAATTGCCAATGAGTTGGTTGTTTCTATGTGTATTTACATCTCTTTCTATAATTTTTTATTTTGAAATAAATTCAGATTCATAGACAATTTCAAGAGTAGTACAGAGAATTCCTGTATCTTTCCTGTATTCCCGTTATTTTACTTGCATATATCATTCCCCCCTCTCTGTACACATATGCACACACTTTTTTTCTAAACCATTTGAGAGTAAATTGCAGACATGATGCTTCTTTACCCCTAAATACTTTAAGTGTATGTTTCCTAAGAAAAAGGACATTTTCTTATATAATCATAGTTCAGTTATCAAAACAGGAAATTAATGCTGTTGTACTGTAATTACCTAGTCTTAGTCATGCTTTATACTCCCCACCACCCCCAAAAGGAAAAAATTGGTACTGAGTACTATCCAGGATCAAATGTTGCATCTTGTTGCCCCTTATTTTGTTTTGGGTTTGTCTAATGTTTTTTTATTCCATTGATCAGCTTTGGCAGGAATATCACAGTGTAACTATATCCTTTTATGTTACACTGTGTGCCACCTGACATGATGCACTTTGTTGCATATGGGTGGTGATAATTTTGATCACTTAGCTAAGGTTATGTTTACCGTGTTTCTCCACTAAAGTTACTGTTTCATATAACTTGACTGTCGGCTTGGCATTTCTTGTTGGACAGACTTAGTGAAGATTAAAATTTTAAACGAAACTCCTTATCATGACCTTCAAGGTCCTGCCCTGCCCTCCACTCGCCCCATTGTTCACCCTCACTAGCCTCACAGTCCTCCGCTTCATCCTGTGAGCATACCAGGTCTGTCTCATGGCCTTGCACTACTGGTTTTTTTCTGTTTAGAATACTCTTCTCCCAGATCTTCACATAAATTCCTCCTGTCTTTTGAATCTCAACTCAGGTATCTCTTCCTGCGAGGCTTTCCCTGATCACCCAACTACAAAGGTCTTTCAGTCACTCTGCTTCATACTACCTTTTTCTATTTTCTTTCCATGCTTTCCAGTGCCTTAGATTACCTTATATATTTTTTTCTTTCTTTTTTTTTTTAAATTGGGGAACAGGAGGGTTTTCCAAGACCCATCAGCTCCAAGCCAAGTGTTGTTTTCAATCTAATTGTGGAGGGCGCATCTCAGTGGCCTATGTGGGGATCAAACCAGCAACCATGGTGAATGAGCGCTGCACTCTAACCAACTGAGCTAACCGGCCACCCCATACATTACCTTCTTTATACATGTGTTTCCTTGTTAAGTGGCTTTCTCCCTATAAGAACGTAGGCTTTTTGAATTGCAGAGACTTTGTCTTGCTCCCTTCTATCCCCAGTGTCTGGCAGGGTGCCTGGACCACAGTAAGCACTCAATAGTTGCTGACTAAGGAGGGAGAAAAGCTTCATTGTTGCTACTGCTTATTTGTAAGGTTTCCTGACTAACTTTTTGTTCCAACATACTGCTTTTCTCTAAGGAGCAAGTAAAATGTTCTTGCTCATCTTCCTGCATCTATTCTCTTCAGCCTTTGTAACTGACTCCAGTGAAGGATATAATGATGAAAGGAAATAGCTGCCCAAGAATTGGGCCAGTTTTAGGAATACTTCCAGGAAAAGTGATACAGTGTACAGGGCAAAGAAAAACAAAACCTTATTGTTGCAATTTACTTTTTTTTATATAAGTAGATAATAAATGGGTTTTGGTGATAATGGTATTTTGAATTCTTCTGTTTTTCCTTGAACTTTGCCCTCAAAAAAGAGGAAGTCAGCAGGATTACACGTTTTTATTTAATTTCCAATTTTTAGTATTAAATATTTTTTAACGTAAGTATGTACTTCTTTTAGATCAGGATGAAAGTCATCTTTGAAAATGTAAGGAGGCAGAACAAATTCAGTGTCGATCTGGGGGCAGTTATTAAAGAGTAACATTTAAAATCCACTCTTAATATGTGAGGCCATTCAGTTTCTAAAATTCATTAAAACCTATTGATGTTTTTAATCAATAATACTCTAATGCTTAGTTCTACAGGTATATGTGAGAGAGTTGCCACTCTTTTAAGATCTTTTTTTACTTTGTCAGTGAGAATGTTTGAAATGTGTTTAAGTACGTTAACAAAGCTTTCTGATTTGTCCTCATGTCCTTTTTGTTTATACCTAGGACCTGAAGGTTATTTACGAGCAGACTCACAAGAGGCCTCCCACTTTGATTCTCAACAGCCAGCAATCTTGGAAGAAGAAGAGGTCATGATAGCTCATGCTCATCCACAAGAAGTCTATAATGAATATGTACCCAGAGGGTGCAAGAATAAGTGCCATTCACATTTCCATGATACACTTGGCCAATCGGATGATCTCATTCACCACCACCATGACTACCATCATATTCTCCATCACCATCACCATCAGAACCACCACCCTCACAGTCACAGTCAGCGCTACTCTCGGGAGGAGCTAAAAGATGCTGGCATTGCCACATTGGCGTGGATGGTGATAATGGGTGACGGCCTGCACAATTTCAGCGATGGCCTGGCAATTGGTATCCATCTACATATTTGTCCTTTGTTGGTTGAGTCTGAAATACTTGCTAAATGTTAGCTTAAGTGCTAGGAGCTGTGCCTATCCCATTACCTAAATTGTAACTAGCAAAAGTTGTTTTAATTTGGGTTTGTTTTTTTGGGGGGTTTTTTCTCCTTTATACATGTAAGTTCTCTTGTCTGCAATATAAACAGTATTTATTAAGGTAAAATAATCTTTTCTACCATCTTTTCTTCTGTGCTGTAAAGGAACCTTTGTATATCTGATAAGTCCAGTTACCAGTCTCTATCCAAAGAAGAACTAACATTTTTGTGATTGTTATACCACAATTAAGAAATAATAGAATACTTACAAATTTTTAACTTAATGCTGGAGAAACCATGGAAATAATTACAGATCAGGCAGCTGAGGCCTGGCAAGGTGAACCGCTTGCAAGGAGACAGTGCTGTTTTGTAGGCCAGCTGAGATGAGCACAGGCCTTGGCTCCCTGGGAGCCCGGTGCTCTTCCTCCTCTGTGTACTGTGCACAACGTAAGCGGCAAGGAGGATATGCAAATGCTCCGTCATGGTTTATAAGTGATCAGTTGTATAATACGTTAGCTTTGAAAGGGAAGGGAACTATTTGTCTTTGACTCTTTATAAGACAGTGAAAGAAAGAATGTAAACAAGTAATTACATAGTGAATTCCTCTGAGGCCAGTGAAATGTGTGTACTCTTGACTGCTGAGTTTTTTTCCTAAACCTTTTAAATCAGTTTATATTTTTAAATAAGTGTTTTATGCCATAGCAATTACTTCTCAGGTTTCTGTAAGATCACCGTATCACTCTAAGGCATAGTGGAACCTTCCCTTCTCAAATCATACCAGCTTGTGCTCCGTTGGGAAATTTAAACCTAATTGAATGTAATTTAAGATTACTTACAAAGAAGATACAGAGTGCAATTGGGAAAGTTCTGTTTAGTCACAATCAGAATATAGTTTATTTCTTTTATCTTGTATGCAAGATTTTATAAAAACACACCCATGAAATAATGTAGCCAATCTTTCTCTTACTGTTTTTTACACAGGTGCTGCTTTTACTGAAGGTTTATCGAGTGGTTTAAGTACTTCTGTTGCTGTCTTTTGTCATGAGTTGCCTCATGAATTAGGTAAGAGAACCATATAAATGGTGTTTTCCAGATGGCTGAACTGTCCTATTGTCACTGGCTTTTGCTAATGATAGTTCCAGCAAGCTTGCTTATAATTTTTATGCCTTCTCATAAGCCTGCTAACCTGGCCAGAGCTTTCTTACTGAGCAGTTTGTTTCCAGCCAGAATCTGACCCCATCAGTACAATTATACAGTTGTCTGTGTGGGGTTGCCTAAGAGGTACCTGGGCTCCCTTTCTTGTCCTTTACCCCTACTAAGTAGCCTATACCAGCATACCAGTGGCATCAGTTATCCTTGTCTTCATACACACAGATGAATTAGACCACAGGCATCAAAGGAATCATTTTCCATTAACAGGGATCATTTGGCAAAGAGAATCTCTTTGGAGCTGAAGAAAACAACCTTCCCAGGGTTGTTCTGGATTCCAATTCATGTCCTATTTTTCTTCTTACAGACACGTATTCCTACACACCTGGAACAGCATTTTCACTTTTGTTCTTTGGCAGCTGTTCTGCCGTTCAGAATACCTCCCATCTGCCTGCTCAATGCTTATAATCAGCATCTGCTTTATGTTCTGTGTTCCAGATCCTTCATGCTCCATGAAGCCTATCGTAACTCATCCCATCTTAATTTATCTCATTTTCTCCTTCTATAGCTAAAGCAGGGGTCGGCAAACTTTTGAGATTTAAGAGCCACCAGGGGTTAGCAAACTGTGGCTCACGAGCCACGGACTCTGAAGTAAAGTCGAAAATGAAAATGAAACTATTATAGTTTCATTTATACAATTTTTAAAGGATATTAGTCACATAATGGTGATTATGTAAATATATATTTATGGCTCTTGAATAATTTTTAAATTGTGAGAAACAGGATTGGCTCTTCCAGGGGTCAGCAAACTTTTGAGACGGAATGTACCCAAAGAGCCGCATGTGGCTCACAAGCTGCAGTTTGCCGACCTCTGAGCTAGAATATTAGACTCTTTAGCTCTTATTTGTAAATTGCCTTTATCATTTGATGATCATTTAATTTCACCCTCCTCTTCTTCGTAGCCAATTATAAGCTCCTTGAAAACTGTACAAGAGCACAAGAGTAGGTTCGCGGTATTTACCACTCATTAACAAAGTGGGAGCCTTGGAAAAAACTTCGACTAGAAAACAAATCTTAGTTTATAGAGCTGTTAGAGTGATTTACACTGGTAACACTGTTAGCCCTGAGTAATTCTTAATTTTGTTTGGGTTTTTTTTTTTCTCTCAAAAAAAAAGTGGAGAATTTGTTAAATCTAGGAAGTCTCTTGAGCATATGTCTTAAAAATGATTTTTCAATTACTTTATCTCCTTTTTGTTTTCTGTTAAAGGTGACTTTGCCGTTTTACTGAAGGCTGGCATGACTGTTAAGCAGGCTGTTCTTTATAATGCTTTGTCAGCCATGCTGGCATACCTTGGAATGGCAACAGGAATTTTCATTGGTCATTATGCTGAAAATGTGTCTATGTGGATATTTGCACTTACTGCTGGCTTATTCATGTATGTCGCTCTGGTTGATATGGTAAGTTTTCCATGTGTCAAATTACAGTGTTGACTAACAATAGAGAAAATGTTTAGTGAAACCTTGTTTTAAAAAAGGCTTTAGGGTCAGCCGAGTGGCTCGTTGGTTAAGAGTTGGCTTGGGAACGCGAGTTCTGAGCCCCAGAGCCACTGGTTCGGGTCCCACATGGGCCAGTGATGCTGCACCCTCTTACAGCTAAGATGGTGAACAACAGCTTGACCTGGAGCTGGGCTGCCGAGAGTTGCCAGCGATGGCATAGGCTGCAGTGGGCTGCCGTGAGCTATGTGAGTGGTGGGCAGGCAGGTTGAGTGGCTGACAGTCGGTGTGAGCCGCCATGAGCGGCCATCCAATGGCTGGCAACCGATCTGCCTCAGCCGGAAAGAGCACAATGATCATAATACCAACATGGGCCAGTGAAGCAGTGTCCTCCACAACTAGACTGAAGAACAAAAGGACAGCAACTAGTTTGTTCTCCTTCCCCAATTCCCCAATAAAATCTTAAAAAAAAAAGGGGGGGGGGCTTTAGATTAAGTGCAGTAGTGGTAAGAAGTTATACTCACAAGGTAGCATAGGACCTTTAGAGTTTATCTTTTTGGATTATTGATCACAAGCACATCTTTATCCTGCCTAATGTGAGTGAGGATACAAAGAATATCTACCTCCTTCTGATGTTTTTTTTGTGCGTAGAATCTCAATAGTTATGCTTTGAATTGTGTATAGATTTGTAGGAAACCTAACACAAGCCACATATGGTTGACATGCTGTGTGTACTTAAATGCCTAAAGGTTCCCTATTAATGGACAAAGGAGTCACATCTCTTTGTCATCAAAGTCCACATAACAATTCCGCCAATCTTATTACTAAAATTTTATTTTATATAGTGTAACTTTTCCATATACCTAAATTCAGGTAAGCCACATGTTATATTCAGTTTAGATACAGGCAGTAACTAGAGCAGGGTAATCAGTACAGCTTTCCGTTTTATAGTGGAGCAAACTGGACCAAATTAAATATGACTTGCTGAGCGTATCGTAAATAATCATTGTTAATTAAACTGCTAGGAAATGCGATGTGACATTATTAGCTAGACTCAGTATGTATGTGGTCATGTTTTAAGGAATTGACCCAGTATATCCAGCCTATCTATAAAGCTAATATACTGTCCTGCAAATTCTTAATAAAAACTAATCTGTAGTTCTGAAACCTTAAAGTTTGCTTGTTTTCCCCCCACCCTCCTTAGGTACCTGAGATGCTGCACAATGATGCTTGTGACCATGGATGTAGCCGCTGGGGATATTTCTTACTACAGAATGCTGGGATGTTTTTGGGTTTTGGAATTATGTTGCTTATTTCCATATTTGAACATAAAATTGTGTTTCGTATAAATTTCTAATTAGGGTATAAATGCTAGAGTAGCTTAAAAATTTTGCTGTCTATAGTTTGAATAGGTCATAGGAAAGTGAGAGTTTGTATGCTGTAATATGCAGCATTTAAGGTTAGTGGATTTTGTGATTTTTGTATTGAATATTGCCATTTGTTATGCTTACAAGGTCAGTTATGGTGGTAACATAAAGGTACATTTTAATATTTAAGTTATTCTATTTTGGGAATATAAGCTATATGTGCAATTTACCAATTTTACCAGTTTATTGTATAAACAAGAGATTTGGCATGACATGTTCTGTATATTTCAGGAAAAATGTCTTTAATGTTTTTTCTAGAACTAATTTAATACAGTAATTCCCATGCTGGATTTTAGGCCTCCGAAGAACTGCTGGTGTTTAGGAGTAAGAATACACACGAAGCCTAAGATACCAATAAAGCTTGTACTGAATTTAAGCCTAAGAAACAAGGAGAAAAGAATATGTAAGAATTAAGAAGGTATAGATTTCTTACAAAAATAAAACAAAACACTGAAAACTGGTTATAAAATAGAAGGAGAAATTTTAGATTTAAATTAAAAAGGCATTATTAGTAAAGTATAGTACATTCATAAACATTTTTGTTAGAGTATTAATGTTCCCATAAAACCAGTGAGCACTTTTTACTAATTTAGTTGTACATTTAACTTTGTATAATAGAAACGTCTAAATATATTTAATGAATTCAAGCATTATATCGCTTGACCAAGAAATTTGAATTTTAAAATATTTGTGTGGAGATATACCTGATGAGTATGACAAAGTTTACATATTGCCAGAATACTTGTTAATCACCAACTTATGTACCGCCCAAAGTTACATGATTGGATGGTTACCAAATGTCAGGCTTACCAAATGTCAATGTACTAGAACTTTGAGATAAGGATATTAAAACCATACTGAGTATAATTTGATTTCTAGATTCAGAAAGTACTTTGGTATCTTTCAGTGCTTCAGTGTTGTCATTATGAGCAATTGTCATTTTTATGTATAGTATTTTAGACATACTAGGGCTCTCTGTGGCATTCTCTAAATGTTGCTTTTCTACAAAATAAATTCCTCATGTAAGCTTGATGTTTGATGTCTGATTTCATTTTTTTACCATCCTAACCATTTTAAAATGTACAGTTCAGTAGTTTTAAGTATATTCACATTGTTGTGCAATGGATCTGCAGAATCTTTTCATCTTGCAGAACTGAAACTTGACACCTATTAACTCGTTTCTCCGTCCCACAGTCCCTGGTAACCACCATCCTACTTTCCAGTTCTATGAATTTGAGATGTCTGATTTTCTTCTGTACCATCAAGATTATATTTATCAATTCATTTATATTATTGTATTGGGTGGCCTTGTTCAATTTTAAATTGTTTACCACACAGGGTACTTCAAAAAATATTGACCCACAGCTTGTTCCAAGCTATTCTTAACTTTTTGGGTTTTTTTAAAACAACCAGAGCCTTAAGCTCAAGAAGAAGCATTAATATCCTACATTCTAAAGAGAATCAGAAAAAAATTGGACAAGACCCTGCACTCCACCTAGGGCCTACTGAGAGACAGTCGGACCAGCATTTTACTCCCCAAACCAAGTGAAAGGGACGGGGATAGGTAACAGAATTACTTGGGTTGGTGGTACCTGAAAGGATGAGATCAGGCATCTCCCCTGACTGAAGGATTGCTTCAGAAGCCCACAGACCTACCCTAGTGCCACCGTTGTGTCAGTGCAAGGTGAGGAAGCTCTGGAATAGCTGGAATTGTTCTTCAAGTTTGGGAAACAGACTTGTACCTATTCCTTTCACAGAGATTCTGAAGGTGGAAGGTGTGCTGAACCAGCCCACAAAAGAGGATGAATAGGAACGATAGTTCTTACTCCAGTTTGAACCCATTAGTGGCTATGTGGGAGATTTAAGTAATTAGTACCCATAGCTAGGGGGAGAGGGGGGAGAATGGAGATTAGAGGAAAATGTAGATTAAAGCATGTTTGAAAATCTGATCCTTTGGGGGAGGGAGGAACCCAGACTGACAGGAAAAAAAAGAAATACCTTCAATGGAAAAGTATTAGATAGTAGGTTCAAGAAATCATAAAAGCAGACTATGAGAACTTCATGGATTAATTTTCTAGAAAACTAAATGTTCACTTGGGCCAGCCAAGTGGCTCAGTTGGTTAAGAGTTGGCTTAAGAGCGTGAGCTCTGAGCAACAGGGCCACCGGTTCGATTCCCACATGGGCCAGTGACACTGCCCGAGCTGAGCTGTCGCTGAGCTGCCAACAGGTGGTAGGATGGCTCAGCTGGTGTAACAAGATTGTCTGTTCAATGGTGAGCTATGCCCACCCGCAACTAAGACTGAACTCGGCACCTTGAGCTGAGCTGCTGCCTGGATGGCTCAGTGGATAGAGTGTGCACTCTTAACAAGGCTGCTGGTTCGACTCCCGCATGGGATGGTGGCTACACCTACTCGCAACTAAGATTGAACACAGCACCTTGAGCTTAGAGGCCACGAGCTGCTGACGAAGCCAGATGGTGACTGGCACCCTCTACAACGAAGACAAGAACAACAACTTGGCTGGTCCCCCTCCCCAATTCCCCAACAGTTCCCCTCCCCCAATTCTCCAATAAAATCTTTAAAAAAAAAAATAAATGTTCACTCAGAAAAATAGGTCAATTACTGTTAAAATGATCAAGTCAGAATTTCCTTCCCGCCCCCCCCCTCAAAAAAAACAAGGCATTGTTTGCTGTTTTACCAAAATGACAAGCAACACATAAATCCCTAGCTTATCAAAATAGTTTCTGGAATTAGAAAAAAACATTTATTGTGTCAGTTGAGGATAAGGTACCCTTGATTTAAAACCATGCTGACAGATAATCGCCCTTGGACTGTAAGACTCCCTATACATTCTTACTAGCTGTGGCAGGAATGTAAGGCCCTGACCACTGCCTGGGCCATTTATCAGTGAACATCGAAAGATAAGGTCCGAGACAAAGATTAGGCCTTGTATAAGAGGTGAATTCCCGAAACTCAACTGCTACGCAAACTCACAACATGTGCTGCATCTACCTGAGACCTTTCACTTTGCTCCTGTGGGACTTGGGGGGTCAAGAGGCAATGATGCAAATGATGCTCATGCTAGTTGCTATGCTGTGAGCTATAGAGTCCTTTGTGTCCCAGGAGTCTTATGTCTTCTGCCATTATCCACGAAACAGTAACAGGCTAACTTGCAGCTTCTAAACTGGATAAAATCCCAGACCCTCACAAAATCTCACAGGATAGTATACATGAAAAGCAAAAATGAATATAGATATACAATAATCCTAAATAGCAAATCAAACTCCATAGTATACAGAGGGTGCCAAGAAAATTATACACATTTTAAGAAAGGAAAAAACTATTAAAATTGTAATATATACTGATAAAAAAATGAATACAAGTCATGTGTATACATTTTTTGGGCACCCCAGTATATGTTACCAAGTAAGGTGTTCTTAGGAATGCAAGACTGGTTCACCAGAAAACCCATAATGTACCATGTCAACAGATTAAAGTGAAAAAAACTTACAATCACAAATCAGAAATTTAAAGTAATTCAGGATTAAAGAAAAACATTTTAGCATATTATAAATAGAAGTTTTTAGAATTCAGGAAGTCTTTTAAAAACTTCTTGAATATTCCCATCCTATAAAGTCAGGGTTTAAGAAAAGCAACAGAAGAGGGGAAGGGAAACGTGAAGAGCGGGAAGAACTAATGTAGACCAGAAAGAGAAACTACAACTCCAAAAACGGAGTGGATCTTGAATCTTCCACATAAAGTACTATAAAAATATATAATGAAAATTAAAGGAGGTAGTAAATTGTCACAATTTCATACCTCTCACCATAAGCATTATGTCATTGGTAGCCACAAATGATTTTTTCCTTTTTAAAATGTTTTTGATAAAATACACCAAATTTACTATTTAACCATTATTAAATGTACAGTTCAATGGCTTACACATATTAACATGTGCAACCATCACCACCATCCATCTCCAGAACTTACTCATCATCACATACTGAGTCTCTGTTTCCATTTAAATAATAATTTCCCATTCTCTCCTCCCCCAGTGCCTGGTAACCACAGCCCTACTCTCTGTCTTTATATATTTAATTATTCTAGGTACATCATATAAGTGGAATCACAATATTTGTCCTTTTGAGTCCGGCTTACATCACTTAGTATAATGTCTTTAAGGTCCATCCATGTTGTAGCATGTGTCAAAATCTTCGTTTTTAAGGCTGAATAATATTCCCTTGTACATACCACCTTCTATTTACCCATTCATCCATTGATGTAGAGGGTGGCTTCTACATTTTGGCTATTGTGAATAATGCTGCTATGAACATGTGTGTACAAATCCTTGTTTGAGTTGGCTTCAGTTCATTTGGGTATATACCCAGAAGTGGAATTGCTGAATCATGTAATTATATGTTTAATATTTTGAGGAACTGCCACACCATTTCCCACAGTAATTGTATCATATTAAATTTCCACTACCACGTTTTTATTAAAGTCAAAAATAAGATATTTGTATTGGGTCATTAAATAAAGTATTTCTTAAGTTTGGCTTAAATGTAAATGCCTATGATTCTATTACAACTACTTTATTTTTTTTACTTTGTTTTGTTTTGTTTTTAAGATTTTATTGGGGAATTGGGGGAGGGGAACAGCATTGGGGAATCGGGAAGGGGAACAGACAAGTTGCTGCCCTTTTGTTCTTCAGTCTAGTTGTGGAGGACGTCGCTTCACTGGCCCAAGCTGGCACCATCATTGCGCTCTTCCCGGATGAGGCAGATCAGTCACTGGCTTCTGGACGGCCGCTCACGGCGGCTGCTGGCCGCTCACGCTGGCTGCTGGCTACACACGGTAGCCCATGGCAACC